GGGGGCGGTTAGGGAGAGAAGCTGGAGGGTGAGGAAGGGAGGTGGGAGAAGGGTGGGTGGAGGCAATGGGGAGGAAAGGTGAGTCCTCAGGCGTGGCAAGCCTGTCACCTGTCTCATCAAGGGGCTCAGAGTTGGAGCACCCAGCAGCAGGAACCATCTGCTCCCTGGGGAAAACCAAACCCTAAACCAACTCTGCTGCCCCTGGGTGGCTTCCAACTCACAGTGACCCCAGAGGACAGAGCAGAACTACTACACAAGGCTCCCGAGGCTGCAAATCTACAGAAACAGACTGCTTCGCCTTTCTCCTGCACAACAGCTGGTGGGTTCCAACCGCCAACCTTTTTGGTTAGCAGCTGAATGCCTTAGCCACTGCACCACCAGAGCTCCTCTCCCTGGGGAGGGGGGGAGGGAGGGAAGGAGGAAGGGAGGAAGAGAGGAAGAGAGGAATAACAGAAAACCACCAGTACTGGCAGTTCGAATTGTTCCTGTGCTCAGCTGAGAAGTCACTGAAAAGACCAGAGTCACGGACAACCCCACGGATCACAGTTCTGCTCTGACCGCGTGGGTTTACCGCGAGGCAGAGCTGACTTGATGGCAGCTGGTGGAAGCGGCAACCAACGTGAGGGCACAGGTAGGGGGAGCTGCTGACCAGGATCTGGGGTATAAAACCAGGCAAGGAGCCTGCCCAGATGATGGAGAGCTGCTGCCCTCCCAGGGCGCGGACGGTCGATGGGCACACAGAGGACAGAACGAGCCCTGGTCCTGGCACAGCTGCTCGGGGCTCCGGAGACCCGGTGGCCTGCTCTCCCCTTCGCCGGCCCCTTGTTTCTTTTGCCCGGTTCCGACCAAAAGGTTGGTGCTTCAAATCTACCGACAGCTGCCTTCGACGAAAGGACTGATGATCTCCTTCCTGCAGGGACACAGCGACTGGGTCCTGGCACTCCCGTGTAACCTGTAGCTGGCCTGCCCTATGCCACCCTGGGCCCTCCAGGAACCTGCTGCACCTTAACCCCACAGGTGGCCGCACCCCAAGCCCCGCACACTGGGTGACAGTGCGTCTGAGATGCATGTAATGCACATGGCGATCTAAGGGGTCACGACTCAGTTCATGCAGCCAAGTCAAAAGCAGGTCCAGTCCCAGATTCAACTCAAGGATTATCAATGTCCTCAACTACTGCCCAGTAACTCTGATGGCCAGAGAATTAAGGGGTGAGTTGGTGGCAAAAGAACACAAGTCCACTGTACTAGAGGCCAGAAGGAGGTGGCCCTAAGCTTTGTCCCTACCTTCCATTGCACCGGCCATCCTCCCTGTCTGCTTGAGCGTCTTGCCCGCAGCCCCGCATGGCACCACCCACACGGCACCTCCCGCTCACGGAGACCCACTGCCGTTATCAGGCAGAGTGGGCCCCGCGGCTGCTGCAGAGATGGGGCTTATCTTTGGCAGGTCTGCTTGCACATCGGGCACACCCAGGGGTCCGTGAGTCTGATACATAATCTGAGAGGCCAGCATTTGGAGCCTTTCTTAAAGGTATGAGATCTGCCTTTGAAGCACTTGTCAGCGTTTGGCAGCCAGCTGGAAGAGCTGTGGAGAACCTTACCACGGGCAGGTGGAGGCCAGGTGTTCTCGGGGACACACCTGCACACCCTGTGCCTCCCAGCCTGTCTGCGCCCACTCTGCTCTGCCTCATGTCACAGTGGCAGCCAGGGAGCCCTCCCCACCTGCCCCCAGGACTCAGGTTTGGACACCCAGAGTGGCTTCTGCCCACGGCCTCTGGCCTCGCCGAAGTCCTGACTAGTTTCTTGAAGCTTCTGTCCATCTCTGACACTGGTGCTTGGTGTGGGGCCAGCAGCAGACCAAGTATGAGTGGGGGACACACTGCCCAGGTCAGCTGAAGCTGTAGGGATGGCAATGCACCAGGGGGCTCAGAGTTGCGTCGGGGGCCAGCACGGTGCACACCTGTCCTTCTTCACCTGAAGCAAAGCCCTAAGCTGGGGCTCCCCTCTCGGTCAGCACAGCTGGGCCGCTGCTGCAGGCCATGGGACAGACGCGGAGGTGCTCTGCCCCAAGGCTAGGGCTGCCCAGACGCCTGAAGACCCCTGGCTTGTGGCTGCCCCAGTCACAGCCCGTCTTCAAGGCTCCTAGTGAGCCCTCATATCCAGGGACACTGGCTCCAAGGTCTTGCATGGCCATGGAGTAAGCAAAAGCCGTCCTAAGGCCAGACGTAAGCTCTGGGCTCTCCAAGGTCACGGCAGTGCACAGCTGTGAGCCATTTACACGCGCGGTCAGTTCTCGCCACTCTTCCTCCCACCTCCATCACCTCTGTGAAAAAGCCCTTGTCCTCAGAACTCACTCCCTGTGAGAGTCCAGTGCTATCACCACCATCCACGGGGCAGGGCCTGTGAGCAGCTGCCACCCGGGCGACTGACCAAACAACGGCAGCTGTGGGAGCCCTCCCCAGTGGCCTGGCGTCCAACCTCTGCTTCAGGACCCTGGTGGCACCCTGGACACTCGGGGTGGCATGGTAACTGTCGTGGTCTGCTTGATGCCCCTCGGTGGGTCCACCACCACGTCTCCCCATATCCCACTCCCACCCCCTAGCCCCGCAACACGCGTGCAGCACCCGCATGCAGTGGGGCTCAGGGCCCACGCACTTCCCTAGAGGCCCTTCACTCATTCTCTGAATACGCTAGTATTGAGCGCCTACTTGGGAGCTCTGGTAGCATAGTGGCTACGGCACTTGACTGCTAACCAGAAGGCTGGCGGTTCAAATCCACCAGCCACTCCTCGGAAGGAAGATGGGGCAATCTACTTCCGTAGTGATAC